GCTAGGGACAAGAAATGTATTAGTTAGTTAAGTAAGAAAAAAGGATACAGGATGGGCTTACTGACCTAGGGACAAGAGGTCGAAACTGAGGTCCCTAGGGCAGCAGAGGCCGGCTTATATACATGGGGAGATTAGGGCAGGCTGTGCGCGTTGGTCCGTGCGCAGCTGGTCCGTGCACAGCATGCCGACGCGGCCCCGGGGGCCGGTGAGTCAGAGCGGCTGTGTCAGCGGAGCCCGAGCTGTGCCGTGCGCTGCCGCCCCATCTAATCTTATCGTACAGTAGATAACGATGTGTCCGTATCAGGCAGGTAGTACAGAGGTCGCGGGTTCGAGCCCGCGAAAAGGAAAAATTAAAAAACGGCTAGGCGCCGTGCCAACTCGTGACATTACCCCCCCCTCAACGGCGCATGACCTCATGCGAGGCGCCCTTTCCCATCTCCCACCCGGAGCGACAGCGTGCTTCAGTCAGCGGCGAAGGCATTGGCTGAAAGTTGAGACCACCAAAGACAGCGGCATTGAGGCGGCGAGGGGCATTCGGATTCTTCCGGTGGAAGTCGGCTATGAGGGCCGGCGCATTGGCAACGTTGCGCGCCGGTTCCCATGACGTATGCGAGTCGTCATAACCCTTCCACTTGACGAGGTACTGCAGCTGACGCCGGAAAATTCGCGAGTCCTTGATCCGCTCAACCTCGTACTCCTCATCGCCCTCAACCTCGATCGCAGGTGGCTCCTCCGGCTCCCGGCCCGGGATATCGCTACGCGTGTACTTGCTAAGCAAGGAGACATGGAATACCGGGTGTACCGGCACCGACTTCGGCAGGATTAATTCGTAATCCAGGTCTCCGAGCTTTCGCCGCACGGCATAAGGTCCGAGACGCTTGGGACTAAGCTTCTTGCTTGGCTGTTTCAGCTTAAGGTTCCGGGCATCAAGCCAGACCTTGTCCCCCGGCGCGAAGACCGGTGCCTCCTGCACGTGCTTGTCATAGTACACCTTCATGCGCTCGGCCGACAGTTCGAGCGCAGAGCGCGTATCGTCGCGAATCTCCTTCAGGATCTTGAGCCGATCAGCGGCCGCAGGCATCGCAGACATCGGATTGATCCGCACTTGGATCTCAGGATGGTACCCTTGATGCAGGAAAAAAGGGGAGTGCCCGGTCGCGGAGTGAACTCGGTTGTTCAGTGCGAATTCCGCGAGCGGTAATTGCTTCGCCCAATCATCCTGCCTGTGGCTTGTGAAAGCACGCAGGTACTGCTCGATCTCCTGATTCCAGCGCTCAGTCTGGCCGTCTGTCTGAGGATGAAACGCTGTAGACAGCGCCGGCTCGATCCCTAGTCCCTTGTACACCGCGTGGAGATATTTCGAAGCGAACTGGGGACCTCGGTCGGATATGACCTTGGCCGGGGCCCCATGATGCTTGAACACATCGCGGATGTACAAGTCTGCCGCACCTTCTGCCGTCAGGGTCTCATGACAGGCTGAGAAGTGGACCTGCTTTGTGAAGCGGTCGGCGGTGACCAGGATCGAGTCGAATCCATCAGACTTTGGCAAGCCGACGATCATATCGGTCGTGATGATCTGCCACGGGCGCTCGGGGATCTCGTTCGGCTTTAGCGGACCTTGGGGTTTGGCTGGGAATGTCTTGGTACGATTGCACACGTCGCAGGTGCTTACGTACTCATTGACGAATTTGGACATCCCCGGCCACCAGTAATTCCGTGACACGAGCTCCAGGGTTTTGGCACGACCACCATGACCGGCGATCGGCGAGTCGTGGTGGATCTTAACGATATCCCGCCGGAGCTCCGCGTTCTTTGGGACGTACACGCACCCGCGGAACAGCAGGAGCCCTTGTTCGGCATTCCATTCCTCAAAGCCCCTTTGAAGCCGGGGCGGCCCGAGGTCCTGTACCTTTTCAAGTGCCTCGGCCACCTCCCGATCCTTCTCCGAACATTCCCTGATGCGCTTCAGAAGCGACTGATCGGCCGTCACCGAGGCATGACCGCGCCTAGCGGAGGCGATGCGGAAGCGCTCTGGCTTGAGAACCACCTGATCGGTGTTATCGTCCTCATCGCCGATCTGATGGTCTGATCGACGCGACAGGGCATCAGCCTTTCCGTTGGACGTTCCGGCCTTGTGCGTGATGCGGAAGTCGAAGCGAGCTAGGAACAGCGACCATCGCGCTTGACGGCGCGTGAGATGCTGGGAAGTACGCCAGTACTCGAGGTTCTTATGATCGGTCACGATCTCGAACTGATTGGGTAACCCCTCGAGATAGTGGCGCCAGTCGTCTAGCGCTTCAATGATCGCGAGCATCTCCTTATCGTAGATCTCGTAGTTCCGCTGCGCTGGATCCATCGCATGGGATCTGAAGGCGATGGGATGCCACTTGCCGTCATCCTGCTTCTGCATCAACACGCCGCCAGTGGCGTACCCCGAGGCATCAACCTCAATACGCGTCTCCCGATTAGGGTCGTACAGCGCCAAGACTGGAGTCGTCGCGAAGAGCCGTTTGAGCTCATCGAAGGCGTGCTGCTCTTCCTCGCCCCAATGCCATGGGTCGTTCCCGGTGAGCCGGTCGAGTGGTCGCGAGA